CACAACCAAATCAAGACAACGTAACCTAATTATTATTGATGATGATAGTTTTTTGTTGATAACGACGACTTATAAGATGGTTTCTATACTGATTGAGCTCCCAAGAAACTGCTGTCAATGTTGTGCTTTGCCTCTGTGCACTGCCTGTCAGCATTAGTGTCCGATCTGACTTAAAGCTGTTAATTTGCATTTACTGACATTGTTTTCCTCCTCTCTAGATCCTCGCTTTTGTTTTACTTACTCTCTGATGTATGTTGCTTTGGATAAAAGTGTCTGCTATATAAATTGTAGAACTGTAGAAATGCATTCAACACAATCAAATACAGCAAAATAAAGGCAATCGACAAAAAGTAGACAATACTGACACAATAACCACATGCAGCCAACACAACAAAATGCAAGGAAAAGTCATTACCATCTACAGGCAATCCAGCCACAGACAATAGAACATAGCTAAATGTATTTTCAAACAAAAAGGTTGTGAGTTTGGTTATATGTTGTCATTTTTCTTAGAATAGATTATATGAATGGAGAATCCGAAGGGGACTATTATCTTTGGAGGCAGGGCAATGTTGATCAGACGCTAAATGCTCATCAGACTAAAGCCAGTGGGTGTACAAGTGATTTTGATGCCTGCGAAAGGTTTAACCATCTGCAATTTTCTTGATTCTAGTATGGTGTCTTGATTTCTTGATGGTGTCTTGATTTGTAGTCTGATGGTGTCTTGATTTGGTTGTGGTGTCTTGATTTAGTTATGGTGTCTTGTTTGATTTGGTGTGTGGTGTCTTGATTTGGTTGTGGTGTCTTGATTTGGTTTGGTGTCTTGATTTGGTTGTGGTGTCTTGATTTAGTTATGGTGTCTTGATTTGGTTGTGGTGTCTTGATTTGGTTATGGTGTCTTGATTTAGTTATGGTGTCTTGATTTGTTTGTGATGTTTGGTTGGTTGACTTTGTTGATGGTTATTTTCTGCAGCAATTGTTTTCTTAAAGCTCCTGTGAGGTAAGAGGTCAAAGTTTGTCTCCAGGGGATGCTTAGTGTGACACAAAGGTTTTTAGTTCTACGGTGTTAAGCTCTCAGGTTCAGCAGTTTGTCTAAACGTGGAAATCGTCCTTTGTAATTAGCATTTAAAACTCAAATGTCATTATATATAATGAGGTAAAATAAGTGTATAAAGACGTTTTTTATAAACATGTCTGCATGATTGTTATCCTAATTTACCTTACACACATTTACGCCATCATAAGAATTTTTTGTATCCCAGCTCCATTGGTTGCCTGATAAATCATTCAACAAAAATAACTATTGTAGCTTTTTTTTTTAACACTTTATCATACTTAGGGTATTATAAAACTATCCCTTCATCCAGTGTATCCTCTGGAGTAACTAGGGTTCTTCTTAAAAGAAGGAGATATGGTGACGACACACCATCTTTATATGAGTGAAATACATTAAAAAACTACAACAGGCTGTATGGCCGATATACAAATCGACTATATGAAGTATGTTTAATTTCTAAGAACTCAAGGTTATATATATCAATACTGTTTTTTAGATCATTAATATTTCACAACTGATGTCAAGACAATGCTTTAATTTTTTAGAATGAAATAGAAACAATGTCATAGGTGATAATATTGTTGAAAGCAGCGGGTTGACTCTGAGTGTCATCATATAAATCATATACAAGATAGAAAATATGAGAAAAATGTATTAGAAATAACTATAAAATGTTTAATTATATATATATTACAGAATACAATTATATTGTGTCTTGTTGTTAAGTCTTAATCAATTGTTTGTGGCCACCTCCTCCTACATACACATTCATAGGGCCCCATTGTACCAGGTCGCCCTGAAATCCTGGCTGCACTAGTTTCCTGTTAGGGGCTGGTGACAGCATAGGGTCAAGTGAAAGTCACATAACTTGCTTTTATGTTTGAGATAACAGTCTAAAGAAGATAAAATGACATATTTTAATGTTTGGTCCTTACTTAAAAAATGACAGACTTTGATATACATACCTTTTGAATATTTGTTTCAATTTTCAATTTCCGCCTAAACTACATGTGTGTTTAAGTGTGAAAAATTCAAAAATGAAAATAGTATTGATAAAAACTTTGCATAATTGTAACTGATAACTATCTGTGAACATCCTGTCCATATTTGGTGAAATTCTGATTCTGATTCCCAGAGATACATGTGATAAGGCTAGAGCTGTCCCTTTTGGAGAAGCCCTAATTTGACCTGTTTTCGTTTTTTGGTAAGATGCATAAAACATCCAAAAAAAGTTATTTTTGCAGTAAAATATTTTTATACAACAATCCGTTCCATAAACTAGACATGTTCAAGTTATGAAAAAATATGGTCGTGCTTTGTTCTACCTCGGGTAGGGGTCTCTCAACTTTTAGGGGCCCAAGTTCCTCTACTATAAGGGCCTGATTTAACTAAGCTCCCAAGTAAAGAGTACTAAATTGCGTGTTCACTCCAAAAGTTTGCACGTTTGGTTGGTGGGCGTTTTGCGGTGATCTACTAAGATTTGCGCGAATGACATCAGGTGCAAACCTTGTGAGGCGGTATAATATTTAAGTTAGTTTTTTTGCGTGTTCTACTGGTTTACATCACGGAGCGTTTTGGACAGAAAGCAGGATGACTGCAAGCGCAAAATAGGTATTAGGAGAGCAAATAAACGCACAATACTTTCGAGTTATAGCAGATAAATCTCAATATTACAAAGAATATTTTGGTTATAAGAAAACCTCGGCATTAAACAGGGCCTCTCTTTTCTTCCCTTCATCTTAAGAATGAAGTGTCATACATTGCGCAGGAGGTGTGAGCTGTGTCCTCTTGGCACGGACGCTCTACACTCGCCGTTGTTGCGCACCGGACAGCTGGCCAGCGCTGTGTCTGATCGGATATAAATGCCCTGGAAAGAGGTATCGAAGACGGGGTACAAACAGTGGTGAGGTCCCCCAATCCAAGCGTCCTACAGAGTGCTCAGCAGCGGGCTTTAGAGGAAGGAGACGAGCGCATTATGGAGAGGAGCGCACCGGGGGGCGAGCTGGGGAGAGACGCGCGACCCGAGAAAAAGGAAATAAAAAAAATATAATGTTGGCGAAAAGAGGGAAATAGGAAGACATAATGTCAATGTTGAAATTCTATACAATGCAGAGGCTGTGAATGTCAGTTTTGTTTGCTATATGGCAACAATAGCCTGTAGTTTAATCAAGGTGTTCCTCTTCCTTAACGATTAGAATATTGAATCAAATTAAAAAATGAATGCATGCCATTTATTTTTCTGTCATTTGAAAGATGTAAACACTGTGATGTTGGCCTTCTTGACCTCTGAATTTCCATGCCAAAAATGCATTTTTGTCCTCCTCCTGGTCGTTTTTCTCATCCTCTGCCATTGTCGTTCGGTTGTGTGGAAAGTGCTCTCGCGCACTGACTTGCAGCGCACCTGCGCACATAATGCCACCTGCTTCTGCATCCGCACAGTGCAACCTGCGTGTAGTGCCGTAAAGTAATCCTACCGCAATCCTTTGTTTGAGAAAGTAACTGTATTCAGAATACACCAATTTAAACTGAACTAAAACGGAATACAATTACTCTTATTTTGTATTTTAAATACGTAACGCCGTTACATGTAATCCGTTACTTCCCAACCCTGCCGACACCACATGAATGCAGCATAAAGCATTCAATTATTTTACTTTCATTTCAGGTAAAGGAACATGGCCTCCGCTGGTTTTCTGCTCTTAACGCTCGCTGTCCTCAACAGCAGAAGGTGAAGAGTATGTAAGTTCCTCCGTCGTATCAGAGTTTGAAATATTTGATTCTTCTTGGTATTCATGTGATTCTTTCTTCACAGCCTTTGTGAAAATTCACTGCAAGACTCAAAACATCGGACAGTATGAGCAGGAGTCACGACTTGACTGTGTAATCCACTACTCGGAGAGGTAAAAGATCCTGAAATCATGTTGGTAATTGGAGTAGAGAGGGGTTGAAGAACCCATACTTAAATACGAAATGGAAAACTACATCGTTGCCTGGATATTCATTTGCTGAACCGTCCTGGAACAACAAGAACGTGAACGTATCCCTGCTCATTCACAAAACTGCTGTTAAGGACGAGGGAGTTTATACATGTTATTGTTCACAAACAGTGGTTTAACATCAACCAAACCAGACTGAACGTCACAGGTGAGCTCTAAGATAAAACTTTGTCTCAGCTTTTTGGCACACACACACACACACACACACACACACACACACACACACACACACACACACACACACACACACACACACACACACACACACATCATTTTGAGGGAATGATTAATCTCTGAAGCAGCCCCTGAGAGCTCATTTTTCTGTCTGTTTGTGTAAACATTTAAGATTAAAGACAGAAGATGGACTGCAGGAAAGATGTAAAAGAGCTAGTGGAATGTAGATGTGGAGAACGACTTTCCTTCCCCATCAGGCTGGTATTTACCTTCAACAGAGACTGTTCAATGTTTGCTCGGTGTCTTTGCTACTTTCTGTTTCTTTATGACATATAAGATGTCTGCTGTCATAAAGTACATTTGCTTATCACACATCAAATATCAGTGGTAAAATAATAGTGTGATGATTGATGTCGAGGGTTGAAGTTCAGATTAATAATCATGTTTCATCTCCATGTTCTCCTTCAAGCCAAATACGGAGTGCCAACTATTCAGCCTCAACCTCAGGACATTGATCTCAACACCGACGGTTCCCTGACATGCAAGTCCACCGGCTACCCAAAAGGCCGACTCAGCTGGTTTGATAAAGACAACAAGCCTTGGTTAGAGCAACCCGAGGTGAAGGTGCTGAAGACAGAGAATGGTCTGTTTATCCTCTCAAGTACGCTGAAAATACAGCGAGGATCTGCCTTCTCCAAGTACACCTGCAAAGTGTTCAACGCCAGAGGAGACGAAGAGGCGGAGGAATCTTTCATCAGTGGAGGAAGTTCACAGAGTCATGCTCAGTCCTCTGTGGAAATTCACTGCAAGACTCAAAATGTTGGACAGTATGACCAGCAGTCACGACTTGACTGTGTAATCCACCATGCTGAAGACCTAGAAGATCCTGAAATCGTGGTGGTAACTTGGAGTAGAGAGGGGGTTGAAGAACCCATACTTAAATACGAAATGGAAAACTTACATCATTGCCTGGATATTCATTTGCTGAACCGTCCTGGAACAACAAGAACGTGAACGTATCCCTGCTCATTCACAAAACTGCTGTTAAGGACGAGGGAGTTTATACATGTCATGTGACCACAGACAGTGGTTTTAACACCAACCAACCAGACTGAACGTCACAGGTGAGCTCTAAGATAAAGCTTTGTCTCAGCTTTTTGGCACACACACACACACACACACACACACACACACACACACACACACACACACACACACATATGGATCATTTTGAGGAAATGATTAATCTCCGAAGCAGCCCCTGAGAGCTCATTTTTTAAGTCATGAGTTGTGTGCGTCTGTGTAAACATTTATAAGATCTACTTAAAGACAGAAGATGGACTGCAGGAAAGATGTAATAGTGAGCTAGATGGAATGTAGATTGTGTCGAGAACTAGGGACTTTCCCCATCAGGCTGGTATTTCAATCAATCAATCTTTATTTGTATTGCGCCAATTCATAACAAGTGCTATCTTGAGACACTTTACAAAAAGCAGGTAAAAGAGCTTACTCTTTGCTATATTACAAAGACCCCGCTTAATCCGTCATGAGCACTTCCCGTAGTACATTTAGAAACTGCAAGTACCTCGAGCAGGCCTGATAGTCGAAGGCTCTACCTCCCATCGTACAATTAGAGACTTTTGGTACCACGAGCAGGCCTGATAATCGAAGACTCTACCTCGCTTAGTACATTTAGAGACCGTAGGTACCACGAGCAGGCCTGATAACCGAAGGCTCTACGTCCCGTAGTACATTTAGAGACCGTAGGTACCACGAGCAGGCCTGATAACTGAAGGCTCTACCTCCCGTAGTACATTTAGAGACCGTAGGTACCACGAGCAGGCCTGATAACTGAAGGCTCTACCTCCTATAGTACATTTAGATAATGTTCACTGTTTGCTCTGTGTCTTTGCTACTTTCTGTTTCTCTATGACAAATAAGATGTCTGCTTTCATTAAGTACATTTGTCCTGCTTATCACACATCAAATATCAGTGGTAAAATAATAGTGTGATGACTGATTGATGTAAAGGGGTGAAGTTCAGATTAATAATCATGTTTCATCTCCATGTTCTCCTTCAAGCCAAATACGGAGAGCTTACTTTTCAGTCGCAATCTCAGAACATTGATCTCATCACGAACGGTTCCCTGACATGCAAGTCCACCGGCTACCCAAAAGGCCGACTCAGCTGGTTTAACAAAGACAATAATGCTTTGTTCGATCAAAATGGTCTGTTTACCCTCTTAAGCACGCTGAATATACAGCGAGGATCCGCCTTGTCCAAGTACACCTGCAAAGTGTTCAACGCCAGAGGAGACGAAGAGGTGGAGAATTCTTTCATCAGTGCAGGAATTTCATGAAATATTTGATTCTTCTTGGCTATATTACATAGACCCCGCTTAATCCATCATGAGCACTTCCCGTTGTACATTTAAAAACTGCAGATACCACGAGCAGGCTGATAGTCGAAGGCTCTACCTCCATCGTACAATTAGAGACGATGGAGAACTTACATCGTTGCCTGGCTATTCATTTGCTGCTGAGCGATCCTGGAACAACAAGAACGTGAACGTATCCCTGCTCATTCACAAAAATGCTGTTAAGGACGAGGGAGTTTATACATGTTATGTGTCCACAGACAGTGGTTTTAACAAGAACCACACCAGACTGAACATCACAGGTGATATGATAAATATATGATCAAACTCAAAATGTGACATCAAAAATCTGAATTCAAGCCATATTTTTTGGGGGGGGTTGGCTTTAAAGGAATATAGTGAATAGACAGTGTGTAGCGTGGTTACTATAGTAATATGTTTTTGGATAGTAAAGAGTCTGCTCCGTTGTTTAGTGGCCGAGGCAGAGGAAGAAACAAAAGCGAAGGAGAGAAGATGATGAAGAGGTTTTAAGGCGAGGGATTGGAAATGGAAATGAAAGAAAAGTCAAAGCATGGACGGTTAAGGTGAAGGTCAAAGATGAGCCATTCATCATGGCCTTTTCTTCAAATGCTCAAACGTTACCAACATACTCCCGTGTTAAGAAAGTTCTGCTTTACAAATCTGGGAGGAAACAGAGAGGAAACATTCAAATTTCCTCAAAAAAAGAGAATTAAGTCTAAAGTCGCGGTTTGAAGAACTAACAAGAGGAAACGAGACAAATCGGCCCGCAAAGAACGTTACTGGCAGCCTGATGCAAATCAGTTCAAATAGTACGCCCTTGGCAAATCAATTAGCCAATAATATTTAGGTTATTTTGGGATTGGCACCAGGGGTGGCCAATCAGATTTCAAGGGGGCCCACGCCAACCCTTTTTAGACACGCCCTGTTTGTAGGCGACTATAGATGTCGAAGATGGAAACTGTGTGAGTCTGACACAAACTCAAAACACAGAATCAGGCTGCCAGAAGCTCAATAAAGACGTTCCTGAAATACGACATATTTCTATAAATTAAGATGTTAAAGAAGGGTGAATATTCAGCGTTATCAAATCGGATTTGCAGGTGTTTGTTTTTTCTAGAAAATGAAGAACCTGGGTGAACCTTAGGGCTTATTTGGCAGCACCCTTGATTTGAACACTAACTGTTATTTTAACCATGAGAGCTGAGTCCAAAGAGCAAAATATCCCCAGGAGTGTTTTGATTATGCAGGGGAAAAGAAAATCTTGGCAGCTCAGACTGAACTTGTAAACATTAAACCACAAGGCTGAAGCTTCCTTAAAAAAACAAGTCGGAGCAACTTTCCTCCCACGTTGCTTCAGTTTTGTTTCCTTCCATCTTGTAAGACATCAATAAGTCTCCAAGTTGACCCAGTACTTTCTCTAAACCATGGGGGGTCAAGCTTCTTGATTTCATGAAAGTTTTGATCCATTGTTCATACTCTTTGACAGGAAAACTCATGAACTGGTTCGTTGATATCTGTGCAGTGACCTTAGCCGAGCTGTTACAAGTCCCCACATCTGCTGAATGCAGTAAACGGTCACTTATCATCAGCTGATTAATATCTGTTTTGCAGTCGACAGTCGCGCGTTTTCAACACCAAAATCCCCTCCAGTCGTTGTCTTTACTTTCTACTTTGTCTGGGAGGGCAGATCATTAACTCAGACCCCCCCTCCCCCCTAGAGAGAAAGAGAAAGTGATGTTTGCAGCTAAAAGTATCACAGGGGAATTTCCCACCCTGCATGACACGCCAACCTGGTTCCAAATATCTTCTTCTATGTTCTATCTTTATATCCATGTGAAGTATTACATCTGTAACTTTTTATTTTCTTCTATTTGATTTATTCAGGGCTGGACAAGACGCCAAACTCAAACATGATTTTGGACACCAAGATAGGGCTCTGTGTTGGTCGTCGGTCTCTGATCTTGCTAGTGTTTTACAAAAACGATCTCAGCGTGAGTACCATTAAATATATATCTGTATATTCAACATGGCAGCCTGAATTCAAAAACTGAC